TTTTTTTTTTTTTTTTTTTTTTTTTTTTTGAGTTAGAGTCTCACTCTGCAGTCTGGATGGACTCAGACTCCTGCCTCAATCTTCTGAGTGCTGGGATGGCAGGCCTGTGCCACCATACCTGACTCACTTTTTACATCATTCCTTGACATTGTTCTCTTTTTCCCTAGTAAGCACTTTTTACCTTGCATAATGTTAATATTTTCTCAGAGAGAAAATCTTAGTCATGAAATAAATTTTCCCATGAATACAGCCTGCCCTTTGAGGACAGTACAGTTAAGAGCCTGGAAACTGGAAATCAAGCTGGATTTAAATCTCAACTCCACCATTTACTATGTGACATCAAGCAAGTTTCTTAATCCCATAGTTTTCCCTGCCTGGATGTTAAGGCCAAGAAGAGGCATTAGCCCTTAATTCGTTTGCCTTTAAAATACTGTTAGAGCTGGCATGGTAGCATCCGCCTGCGATCCCAGCACTCGAGAAGCTGAGGCAGGAGGATAGCAAGTTCCAGGTCAGCATGGACTCAGGGAATGTTCAAGGCTGACCTATGCTATATAACAAGACCCTGATCCCAGCGCCCCCCCAAAAAAAAGAAAAAGAAAAAAATAATATATATATTGTGTGTATGTATATATACACACACGTATGTGTATGTATGTGTACATATATGTGTGTACATATATTATTTTGTAAAATTAAGTGGTTCGTGCACAGTATCTTTCTGACTTATTAGCTTAAGAGTGGAAATAAAATCTGGGCACCTGTAATCCCAGGACTTTGGGAGGCTGAGGCAGGAGGATCACAAGTTCAAGGCCAGCCGGAGCAATTTAGCAAGACTTGTCACGAAATAAAATGGGCCAGGAATGTATCTGAGCATTCCCTAGAATCAATCTCTAGTACTGAAAAGTAAAAGAAGAGTAGAAATAAGGTACTTTATTAGGTCTTTTTATCTAGGATTTAAAGTACTCTACCTTACTCAAAGATTAATTTAGATGATTTGCATCTTTCAAATGTCAAATTCATTGGGTAATTGTAAATTTAATGTAAAAGCGATTGGGCAGCATTAGAAGTTAGTGACAGTGTAATACTGAAACCATGGAAATGTCCCTAAATAGCCTTTACACTCAAAAGCATTTGTACTTGAATTTTCTAGGGTACGTTATGTTTTGTGATATGTTTTCACATATCGGAAAGTTCTGAGATTATAGTTTATTGAATTGCTCTTTAGTATTATCCTACTAAATGCTGAAATTTGTTTTACTTTTATCTTTTAAAATGAATCAAAACATTTACTTTCCATTTCCTGGTTTTCCTTAGCACCAAACACCAAAGACTTGGATGTATTTCTTCGGAAACAAGAATCAGGATTTGGCTTCCGGGTGCTAGGAGGAGATGGACCTGACCAGTCTGTAAGTGCACAGGCTTTTGCTGTTCATGTTAAAATTTGTGAATGGCACTTGTTGTTGGTTTTGTTTTGTTTTGTTTCCTGATTTTCCTACTTTTTTTCCTCTTACAGTTTCATTAATATGAGGTATGAGTGTCATGCCCCCTAGTTAACATGGTGTGCCTTGGCTAAAATATGTATATAAAAACTGAACATGTCAGCTGTGTGTTGGACAGTGATTAATTTACTTCTCTGTGTAAATAAAGACAGCTATATAGGGCTGGAGGGTGTAGTTCAGTGGTAGAGGACTTGCCTAGCATGGGTGAGCCCCTGGGGTCAATCCCCAGAAAAAAATTAAGTTTTTAATTTCCTTTGTCTTTGTTAAACAGATTCTAAGACATTTTTCTTATCTAAAAAGCCTATAATCCAGTGTTCTCTTTCTGAAATCACTCTGTCTTCTGAATGCTCCTGGACTATTGGCTTGAACCTGTGTGTATTATTTCACCTGATCTTATTAATGACTTGATATTTTAATGCTCATTCCTTTGCCTGTCATTTCATGTGTTAATATTTCTATCTAGAAGGCATAAAGATTACATTTGCAAAGCTTTCTCTTTGTATTTTTTTTGGTTGTTTTGTTTTGAGGCTTTTGGTGTTTTGAAAATGAGGTCTTGCTGTGCAGTCCAGAGTGGCCTCAACCCTCTCTGAAGCCCAGACTGCCCTTGAACTCCTGATCTCTTTGCCTGAGCTTTGCAAGCCTGGCATTACAGGCATGCACCACCCACACCTAGCTGCAAATCATTTAAAGCCTGGGATTTTGTTTATGTGTGATTCTTACAGAAAGTTAGAGAACAGATGTACTATAATGAGTTTTGTTTTTAGGTTTTATCCTTGCTGTTGAATGACAAGTATTGTGCTTTGTAGGATTTCAGATCTTATTTACATTTTCTTTTGTATAATACAAAAAACATTACATTATTATTCTTGGACGTTAGGTGAATAGCACTAATCTTTAAAAATGAGAGGCTTCCAGGAGCTGTGGCTCATGCCTATAATCTGCGGAGGCAGGAAGATTGCAAGTTCAAAGCCAGCCTTGGCAATTTTGCAAGACCGGTCTCAAAACAAAAAATAAAAGGGGCTGGAATATACTCAGTGGTAGACTACTTGCCTTAGAATGTGAGAGGCCTTGAGTTCAACCACTAGTACTACAAAAAAGGAAAAAAATAGTGACAGGCTTTTTTCTGTTTTTGAACAGATTGGTTGATTTAATAGTACAAATGTGTTAGTCATCTTGGTTGTACTTGCAATAATCATTAAGGACACAGAAAGCTTAGGCAGATGGCCCTATATAGGGCAAATGTACGATACTTTGTTTTTTTACTACATATATATATTTTTTTCCTACTTCGTTGATATTTGTAGTGTTCACTTAGACATTTTAAGAATTTATCAACTAAGGAGCAGCTTTTTTCTTCTTCTCTTAAATATTGGGTTTTAGTAGTTTTGCAAGTGGCCCATACATAAGGTTGCCTGATTATGGGCTTTTACCTGTTAGTGAGCAGAATGAACCAGATCTGTTGTACTGTGCAAGTGAACCTCGGGCCACCTTGTTCGCTTGAGTTTTAGGAACAAGAACTATTTCTCTGTTGTGTGCACTAAACTCGTACTGTTAGCACATTCGATGGTAGAATCATAAAAATGATCCCAGTTGCTGTGAACTATGTGTAGAAAATCTTTCCTGAGGGCAATCAGCAAGCCTTTTAAAAAATTTTTTTTAGTAGCCACTCCATGGAATTACATTTTGTTTTGTTCTGTTTTTCTGGTGTCAGGAATCGAACTCAGGACCTTGCGCTTATGAGGCAGGCAGCAGAACCACTGAGCTAAATCCCCAGCCCTGAATTACATTTTCTGAGTTTGTTTTGCTATAGTGCAGTGATGGAGATCATGGAGGTGCTTTTAAAATTGTTGTCCAGTCTTCCTTTTTGGTGCTCAACTCTGGGCATCTGGAAGCATTGCAGAGTGCAGTGTGGGTCTCTGTCGTGCCCTCTTTGAGCATGGGCCCTTTTGAGGTATCGCCTGTCTGAAATGTGCCAGTTTCCATAGGTGAACCTGGAAATCTGTTGGTCTGCACAGTGGTGAGTCAGGAAGCTTTTACTCTTCAGCTGATTTTTGTAGACCATATGGACCATTCTGCACATTGCTGTCTTTCCAGATCTACATCGGGGCCATTATTCCCCTGGGAGCCGCTGAGAAGGACGGTCGGCTCCGCGCAGCGGATGAACTCATGTGCATCGATGGAATTCCTGTTAAAGGGAAATCCCACAAACAAGTCCTGGACCTAATGACCACTGCTGCTCGAAATGGCCACGTGTTATTGACAGTTAGAAGGAAGATCTTCTATGGAGGTAGAGTCAATCCACTTTCTATGTGGTTTTACAGGGCATTTTATTAGTAATGATTCAGATAACCCATTTGGCATAACCCAGAGCCCCATTGTGTAAGGCCACAGAAAGTCAAAGGGATCCAGACTTAATACTCCTATCAAAAAATAAAGAAATGTTGGGATCCATATTAAGATAAGGCCAGGTATGGCGGCACACGTCTATAATCCCAGCACTTGGAGGTGGAGGCAGGAGAATCACTGTGAGTTTGACCAGCCTGGGCTACACTGTGTTTTAGGCCAGAGTGAACTATACATAGTGAGACCCTGTCTCAAAAAAAAAAGGTTATATTACTATATTGATAAAATTTTACCAACACAATATTGTGAGTGAATGTGTAAGTTTAAATTTTTTTTTTTAACAAATGCATTTAGGATGGGAATGTAGCTCAGTGGTAGTGTGTTTGCCTAACATGCATGCCAAGCCCTGGGTTCTACCCCCAGCACTAGAAAAAAATAAAACTTATACACACAGGTACAGTTATTTAACCATACTAAGATATCCCACTAGATAAGTATCAAAAGATTTTGAATCCTGATGAAATCCCAAATATTCAAAAAAGTGGGATGTTTCTGCTTAAGAAGTTTTAATAGAACATTCATTGAGTACTCACTGTGTCCCAGATGCATGGGTTATTTATCACTCAAAACACTGTGACGTAAATATTGTCATAATCTAATCCCACAGTGAGTCACAGAAGGGTTGAGAGACAGCCAATAAGTAGTAGGAGCAAGATTAAAATTTATATTTAATTGTAGAGCCATGGCTCTAAACCATGACACTAGGATATGATCATCTTTTACAGTTATCTTATCAGTAGCTTTGTGGATATTAGCTAGGATTTTTATGTGAATTTTTTCCCACTTTAAAAATGATGACTCTGTAACACAAGAAGGCAGTTAGCTTGGCCTTGCTGGAGTCAGAGCATAGCTACATTCAGTAAAACTTGAAGAACGCACCATGAAACTACATAGCAGTTTGGTACTATTGGAGATCTTTTAAGCCACTTCATCTAACTTTGCAGTATGCAAAATGAATCCTTTACTTTTCAATAATGATTAGATGTTAGGGGCATTTGGTTGAGATTCTAAAATGTATTCTTAGGGTTATGTAAATTCTGAGCCAAAAGAGAATGTTCCACAGCTGCTGTGTGTTGGGATTGTTTATGATGACCAAATTGTCACACAGCATTGGCCTTTTAAAAAGTCAGTTAGATCTTGGTATCATTCTTAAATCGTGATACCATCCTTGCATAGCTGCAAAAGGTGTAGGTTAACTGCCCATTTGCCAGCGATTCCACACGACCTTATGTGTGCCTGGGAGAGCCTGCTGTTCATGTGCGCTGCTTGTTATGTGTCCCAGCGAGGAGGAGGAGAAAGGCTGAGAACTGCTAATGATGAAGCCCTCTCATCTCATGAGTCAGGAAGCTTCAGTTGCAAAGCACACTGTAGAGGACAAATCCTGTGCAGGTGGTGGACCTGGGTGAAGGCAGCACTTCTGTCCTGACCCCGTGACCTCCCAGACACCAATAAATATCAGTCACTGAACTCCGTTATATTTACATTGATCTTAATAGGAAATTTACTGGATCATTTCTCATTATCTAGTTTTCTTTAATTATTGCTCAAGGTTATAAACCATGACAGAACTAAAACTTGCCAGGAATAATTTTTTAGTATCACATTTTAAAGTGGGATGATATTGGATCATACATATCTTTCCAGTTACATCCTGAGGTACTGTATTTACAGGTGGACTACTGCTGCCTACACATGCTCAGATTATGCCCAGAGCTCCCATGGGGACTGTTTTTCTGTTAGTAGAAAAGAAAATTTCTTTGAGAAGCTTAGCACAAAAATACTTTCTTTACCAAAACTTTTGGTTTTCAAAAAATATCAAAACTGATCATGTTTATTATAGAAAAGCATCCTGAGGATGACAGCTCTCAAGCCTTCATTTCGACTCAGAATGGATCTCCCCGCCTGCACCGAGTAGAGGTACCTGCCAGGCCTGCTCCCCAGGAGGCCTATGATGTTGTCTTGCAACGAAAAGAAAATGAAGGATTTGGTTTTGTCATCCTCACCTCCAAAAGCAAACCACCCCCAGGAGGTAAGGGACTGCGGTCTCCTGTTGTCTCTCCCTGCCAGACCCATGTGTCTGAGCCTCCCAGTGAAGCTTAAGAAGCTAACAGGAACTGTGCATAAAGTGCCGTAGAGACTTACCTTTTTAAGAATAGTGAGTATTTTCCTTTTTTTCGAAGTCAGGTATTCAGACTCATACCTTCCATGCTTCAGGGTTATCTGTCACCTCAGATTCTGTGAAATAGGTCTCAGTAGTTCAGTTTGCATCAAGATTATACTGAGACAGCAGCATATCACGGACCTAGCTTGATGGATTTAGGGAAAAATATAATACTGAGTTTTTAAAAATTTGGGGTCACAGACCTTTTAAATTAGGAGAAATTGTGGATGTAAAAATAAAGAATAGAAGTAACTACAGAGAAGGAAAATAGATTACCAATACTGTGACGCAAATATATTTTAGTTATTTCATATTATTTAATAACAATTGTTATATTCTAACTATAAAGTGGTTAGAATGAGACATCCTACCTTTCATATATGTTTTATTGAAAGGTAGAAATTTTGTCACAACCTTTAAAACTTTATTCAAATATCCTGAACCATAGTTAGCAGAATCCTCACTTCTGGGAAGGGTGAATATATATGAACACCAATTTCAGCAGCAATGGAGGAAGTAGCATCTGCTAAGTTCAGGGCTATTATGATTCAGCAGATTCAGTGTTGGTCTTGATGTTGCTGAGAAGTAATCTTTAAATAGAATTATAAAATCCAGTTGAATATAAGCTGAAAACCAGAACACTGATATTTGTGTATCATGCTTGTATGATAACTTTATTTTTGGACATCAATTGATAAAACTCTTCGACCACATGAAAATATACTCTAGCTTTTGCAATTGGATTTGAATTTATCTTGGTGAGTGAGATCCTTTTAGACTAAATGGTCACTAAAACCTTAGTAAGAAAAGACAACGTTTTTAGGAAAGTGTTGTAAACCAAACCAATTGATAGAAACCTTGCTAAAATCAATGCAAAGTGTAAAGGAAGAAATTCTGTCACAAGGATGTTACTGCTATAGTATCAGGTCACTGCTCACTGATACTAGTTTCCATTTTCCAAAAGCAGTTGCTATGGTAACACTTGGAATTGGGGCTGTCAGTGATGCTGTGGGGATGATTATGTGGCCTGTGTCAGAAAAATGAAAGGAAAGCAGCCTGTAGGTGGTTTCGTGTTGTAAATGTGGAAATCAGTCTTTCCAAAAACAACCACTTAGAATAATATTGTCATTCTAATATCATACAATAATCTCAGACATCCACATTAACAAAAATAGTGAAAGATTATCCCTACGTGTGATAGATGACAGTCACTTTTTATAGAGAAGACATTCCTTCTCTAGCATTGCAAAAATTAGGGGAGAGTCTAGTATGCACCATCGAACTAAGCAATGTAGAGGAATTCAGTAAAAAGTTACACCTCTTAAATGCTTAAACATATTTTTATACTCGTTTGTATTTAAAATTTTAAAATATTCTTTTCATTTAAATAATTTTACTGTTTTGACAGTTTTCTGTGTATAGATGTTCAGTCTCTGAATAGCATAGTGTCATTAAGCTAGGGATGGTGGCGTACACCTGTCATCTCAGCACTCTGAGACAGGAAGGCTGCAAGTTCTAGCACAGCCTGGGCAACTTAGTGACTTAGATTCTTTCTCCACAGGTAGGTAGAGAGGTGGGTGGATGGGGCTGGGGTGTAGCTCGATGCAAAGGCTTTGGGTTCAGTTTCCAGTTACGCACACACGAAATGATCATGTCACTAGTACTGGGTTTTAGAGTCATTAGAGTCAAGCTCTTCATGCATCTTTGGATGGCAGTCCGGCCTGTCCACTGTACAGTGTAGAGGATGATAACGCTTCTGTGCCAGTGCAGTGCGGGGTTTGAGCACACAGACCCTGTGAGAGACAGAGAATCTCTTTGCGGGGGCCAGGGGACGTCACTGGAATGGAGTGAGGCCCCAAACCGACTCAGACCCCCTGATGTATTGAGGAACAGCAGAGGCATAATGTTCTGCTGAGCATAGATCTTTGTTTTAGGTAGCAAGGCAGGCAAGTGATGCATGGTGACAGTTTAGCTGAGTTACTAACCTTTATCTGATTGTGCCCTGGAGAGGCGTCTCCACCCCAGGCCCTTCTCCGACCAGACTGGAAAAACATCCTGGCTTCAGGGTTTTGGCTCCTGGGAGTCACAGTCCTCCACCTCCCGAGTCACCTGAGCAGACACTGACCTGTCGTCTGGCGTCTTAGGGACTCCACAGTTGGAGTATGAGGGTAACAGGAGATCATGTGACGCCTGTGGACAGACTTTCTTTATGTTAGCCACCCCCATTGTGGTCATCTTTATTTAAAAAATTATTCCTCACTCTTGACCCATGTTTGTGTTTTGTTTTGAGATGATGTCTCCTTCAAACTGGAGGCTGACCTCATATCTATGGGCTTATGTGACCCTCCTGCCTTAGCCTCTGAAAGAGCTGGGAATGCGGACACACCAACAAGCCTGCCAGCCTTCTTTTTTATTTTGTACCTTTATATGACCAACCTTTTTTAAAGAAACTTTATTAATACTTGATAATGAGTTGGGAAAGAAAGCCCAATTAAAATGTAAAATTGAAACAGCACCTAAAGTGTGACAGAAAAACAAGTGCTTGCAGCTCATTAATTATCAGTTTGAATGGTAAATTAGGCTTAGCTTGTTGATAAATTTTGTATAAAGTACTTAAGATTTTCTACCATGGTGCAGAAGAACTGTCAGTTTGTGCATGGCTATTTAATAATCTCACAAAACGCTGAGTCCTCAAGTATTCTCAGAACGCCTTGTGTCTGTTCAATGAGAAGCGTCCTGCAGTAAGGGAGAGGAAGCTTCAGCTCCCAGAGCTGAGCGAATGCTGCTGTCTCTGTCAACACAGAGCATCTTGGAAGGGCACTAGCACAGGAGAGGCGGGAAGCCTGTCACCATATACCCTCCCTTCCGGTCTCGTCGCAGAACTCTGCTTAAGGTAGATTACTTTTTTCTTCTGAGGAAAAGAGCTCCTGCTAGTTTCTCCGGCGCCTGCTCTGAAATCCTGAAATTCTCCGCCATGCCACCGTCGGGTTGGCACCTTCTCTATGGGCCTAGGCCAACGAGCACAGTACTGAAAAGGCCTCTCCAAAGGTGAAAAGGACGCGGCTGAGCTTTTAGTGTTACTCTTAGCATATGGTTTTCAGTTCTGGCTGTGAAGATTTCTTTGAGAAGGGAATATTTCCAGTTACTGGCCTTTGATTTCATGAAGAGAAATGTTTAAGAGCATTAAGGTGGTCTCAAGCAGAACAAGCCTGGCTGTGGCCATTCGAGGCCAGAGATGAAAGAAGATGAAGAAAGTGGCTTTATGGCGAGTGGCCCTGGATGTGTGTACAGCAAAACAAGGCTTCTCTGTAGCTATGGAACTGGGAGAGAACCTCCAGGTGTACTTGGACAACAGTATTTAGAAGTGAGTTACTTTCCGGCTGCTCCGTGGTGAGTGAGCTGTTAAGGTGGCACTGCTGTACATAACCGTACGAAGTAGCAGTGTGGCTGCTCTCACCGTGTCTCGCCCAGATGACTAACCCTGTAGGGAGTCGTGCACGCCACTTTTCGGTGTGAGAAAGGGCGGCAGAGACTTCAGGTATGGATTCTGCGTGATGCTTTCCCACATCTGAACCGACCCTCTTCAGTGTGCCTGGTTGCTGCTCAGGATCTGTGTATGTGTAAATCTTCTCTAAGAAGGGGAGTGACTACAGGAATGATTTAGAGAGAATGGACAAAGTGCGGTATTCCTGTACGGTGGTGAGCTGCTTTGCCATAAAAAGGATAAGTGAGTGACTTGTGGGAAAATGATGCACCTTGAGACCATAATGTTAAGTGAAATAAATCAGAGACAGAAGCTTAAAAATCACATGATCTCTCTTATATGAGAAACAGGAGATATAAAAAGGACAAAATAAAAGATAGATATTAGGAGTTAGGGAGATAGGTCTTTTGCAGAAGGGAAGGGGGCCAAGAGATGGGAGGGGAACGAAAAAGGACTGATGTGTTAACAGCATACTAATAAAAACTGAACAACCAAAGGTCACCACAGGGCCACTACACGATCCACGCCATGTTTCTGATGCGCCACAAGTTGGCGCGTAGTTCCTGGCACAGGACACAGCCCATGTTGCGTTGGCATTTTCTATTCACTCAATTTGCAAGAAAAATGGAGTCTTAAGTATTTGATATAATTCAGAGCTAAAAGGTACTTGCTTCCAACATTAACTTTCTTCCTCTTAAGATAAAATCTCCACTGTATAATCCAAGAGGTGCCAAGCAAGGTCCTGTCTGTAGGGACATAAATCATGACCAAGAATAACTTCGCTTGGGCTATTAAATGAAGATCTATTAAAATGTGCCTAACATAATCCTAGGTCTGATTCAGAAATACTAGTAAGGATTGTTTTACTAAGGAAATTAACACAATTCACAGTGCCATCTAAAAATATTAATTACCCCTATTCATATCAGTCAGTAGTCGGCAAGAGCCCCAGTGCCTGGTAAGTTTACTGATCCCAGCTAGGAAATTCTGAGGAAATGTAGAAGGAACACTTGTTTCCCAGAACACGTACCCTTATACAGTGCAAGGTGTTTCATTTGACAAAATTTCCCAAGTGCGTTTTCAGCTCAGTAGCGGTCCGTGGAGGAAGGCCTTCCACGGAGAGAGCTGGAGGGCGGGAGAGCTGTGCACAGTCTCCAAGTGTGTGAGACACAGCTGTGCACACTCAGGGGTCAGTTTTATCCATGAGTCAAAAAGTCTTAACATTAAATACTTAATGTCCTGGTGCTACTCAGCTTTTTGAATTTTGACAAGATCTAAAGACACAAAAGGAATTAATATCTGTGTAGAACTAATTAGGATTCATTTTAATGAGCATTTATTTCATTGTACCTGGATTTCTGACCAGTAATCATTGAGTCCTAAACTTGAGTTTGGTCTATATGTATTTAAAAGGTTCCTTTGGGAGCAAGTGCCCTCCCTGGGGCTTAAACCCAGGCCCTCACATATACTAGGCAAGTGCTCTACCCCAGCCTTTCTTTTATGAGACAAGATTGGTCTGAAACTTGTGATCCTCCTGCCTCATCCTCCTGCGTAGCTGGGATTACAGGTGTATGCTGCCACTCGCAGAATTAAGGGCCTTTTCAGCAGAGCCAGAAAGGGTCTTGTAGCAGTTTCTAAAATAACTAAAATCTTGATAAACCCTGATGGGCACCGATAAACAATGAAGGGCCAGGTCTGTGCGACATCAACAGTGTCCGTGAGGCCAGCAGCCCTGACCCAGGAAGGCTTAGGAGGGTGACACCACAGTCGGAAGAGGGCCGTGGGCGGAGTGTCCACAGGACGGGAGACGGAGCTGCCCACTAAGCCTGCTGAAGGTGACAGCACTGGGACCGCGGCACAGCCCATGGGGAAAGCCAGGGGCACCCAGCTAGCATATGCAAGTCCCGGGAGAGGTGGGGGGAGAGGCCCGATGGGCCCGTGTAGGCCTTGGCCAGCTCCTGGGGCTGAGCAAAGATAACGAGCTTTCCTGGGAATGGCTGGAGGATGGTGGAGCCAGTCCCAGGCAGTCCCCGGACAGTGTGCTGCTGCCTGCGGTGCTCCCCGGGGCCCGAGTGGAGTCCTAGGGTCCACAGCTGAGGAATGCTGTGCTGTCACTCTCCCTGCAGTGTCCTGCAGGGCTGGCCAGCCCTCCAAATTGTCTTGTGTGTGTCTGCGCTCGTGTACTCATTACCAGCTTTCCTGAGTGGGCTCCCGGCCCCTTTCCACACCTCCACTTAGTTTGATGCTCTTTGATTTTTTTTTTTTTGTTTTTGTTTTTTGTTTGTTTTGTTTTTTCCTGATGGAATAGTCACTCACTGTCCTTGTAAAATTTCTTTTTAATATCACATTTTTTTTTCCAGTACCAGGGATCGAACTCAGGACCTTACACCTGCCAGATAGGCTCTAGTACCACATCCCAGCTGTCCTTGTAAAGTTTTTAAAATACAGTCTGACCTTCAGAAAAAAAAAAATTGGAACCAGGTTTCTGGTAAAGAGATTTCTATTTCTGGTTGCAGCTGTAACCGTGTGTAAAGAGTACACACACAAGCTGGGTGTGGTGGCACCTGCCTGCGGTCTTAGGTACTGGTGGATGCTGAGGCAGGAGGACTGCAAGTTCTGGGTCAGTGTTGGCAACTTAGTGAGACTTTGTCTCTAAATAAAAAGAGCTAGGGATACGGCAGAACACTTGACTGGTTCAGTCCCCAGCCCGCCCCCCAAGATCTGTGCTCGCTGTTGAAGTTGGAGGAGATTTGAAAGTACTTGCCTTTAGATGATGTGTGCTGCTTTTTTGCTATGTTCGTAAAGATGTTTCTCTGATGTTATATTGAACTTTTAAATAATGATGATAAATCCAGCATTAGCAGATAATATTGACTAACTGAAAAACCTGGGGTTTCTTCCCCACAGTTATTCCTCATAAAATTGGCCGAGTCATAGAAGGAAGTCCTGCTGATCGATGTGGAAAACTGAAAGTTGGGGATCACATCTCAGCGGTGAATGGACAGTCCATTGTCGAACTGTCCCACGACAGCATCGTTCAGCTGATCAAAGATGCTGGCGTCACTGTCACACTGACAGTTGTTGCCGAAGAAGGTAAGGAAGTGGAGGGCATGTGTTCCCGGCTCAGAACTGCGGTGAGAGAATCATTTATATGCCGTGGAGTCTCATTCTTTGCCTTTCCCACTTAATGAATTTAAAAGACAGTTTATTATGAAGTTGTCCACAGCTCAAGACAAATAATCCAGTAGTGAGTGGTGACCATTTATTTACGTGCCAGCGAAGCAAGCACAAGAGTGAAAGATTGGTAACGCTTTTCAGATCTTACTTTCTTAAAATAATGTCTCAAGTCTCTGCTTGAATGAAAGGAAATCCCTTAAGAAGTTCAAAGGAAGTCACTGTTCCTACCCAGCCTTTCATGACGGGCCGTGGAGTGGAGCACCTTTTCTTGGGGCAGGCTTTGTTCCGAGCAGCTGCTTTATAAATATGAGGGTTGGAGGAGAATGCAGGAAGGCTTGTAAATGGGGCATAAAATGCACACTGTCAGCTCTACACACTGTCAGTCTTGCCTTGCTTTAAAGCTTCCTTTTTAATCATTAAAAATTTCCAATTAGGAGCCATTTTGAGCCAGACCATGTTCTTTGTTTGAGTTCCTAACTAACCATTATGCAGTGCTCACCTCATTTCCCCTGATTTTGCAAAACTAAGAGAAGACAAAAACAGAATTTATGAAGAGCCCATCTTTAATGTTAAAAGCTCTTCATGCATTCTGTGTCCATTCGTGTTCCATTTTCCCCCATGTCCCTGTAATCTAGTCCGTTTCTAGGTCTTGCATACTTCTCCCGCCTAGCTCTTTTCTCTTCCTTTTGCCCACTCTCATATTTTGTTCCTGACGTATGATATAAACCTTTCCGTCCGGGAGCATGTGTTGGGTACTTCCGTGTAGCGTGAGGTCCTGTCCAGGTCTAGGGAGGACTGCGGGACGCAGGGGCATCCCTGCTCTTCCTCCCCTTCTCTGTTCTGTCCCCACACTCCACCCAGATTCTGCTGGTTTTCTCAAACCTTCCTCCACAGAAACTCCAGTGCTTCCCCTGCTCTCTGCATGGGATGTGTTCCGTGATTTTGCTCCCAGTCTGCATTTGCAATTTACCTCCCCAAGTTCTCTTAGCTCTGTCTCATGGGCCTCCAGGCACTCGGACACAGCCTTCTGGAAGGTGCCTCTCTCTATTTAAAGTCTGCTTTTGCAGACAGATTGCTAGTTGTTGGCTACTAGACTTATTAGGGGCTCAGTATGAAGGAATGAATGAAGGATTTGAATTCTAGTAAATAAGTGAACAAATGCGTGAACAAAGTGAAAGGAGGTTTTAGTTCTTATCTGTAATGTCGCTATAATACCCATTTGAGGGTTATTGTAGAGTTTAAAGGTGAAAATGTATATAAGCCACTCGAGTACTGTAAGGTGCTCATCTAATGTCAGCTGACATTGTTTCTCCTGCTCGCCTGCCTCACGCATTCAGGTCTCTGCTTAAGTCTCACCACATAAAAAAATAGCAGTGTGTTATTTTTCTCTTATTGCTAAGACAAAATACCCAAACCCCAAGGTTAACGGGGAAAACTTGACTTAGCTCACAGTTTGTAAAGGTTTCAGTCCATAATTGGCTGGCTCCAAGGCAGGGTGGCAGAGGGGCAACAGTTCATGGCAGAAGAAAGGAGCAAAAGCAACAAGAGATCTTAACAGCGTCTTTCTGCCCCTTTCTTCCCATCCAGACTACCTCGATGAGGGCGGTGCCAAACCAGTCACTCACTGCAGTAGTTTAGTAAGCACACGCCCTTAACCCCAGCATCACTCTCTAGATTCAGCCCCACCTTAGGACTGCGTGAGGCTTTGGGGGCATCTGGACACGAGCCGTAACACATGGTAACGTTTAGTATGCGCTCGCTGTGTGGGAAGCACTGTTCTCCCTCCCTGAGTACTCGTTTACTGCAGTGGTGCTAGGTAGGCAGCATCATTTCTCATGTGGGAGATGAGGAACTTGTAGAACAGTTAGATAATTTGCCTGAGGTCATAAAGCATCTGAGTAACAGAAGCAGTGTTTGAATCGGGCAGTCTGACTTCAGATGTTTCCCTGGTGCTGGGGATGCTCGTGCCCAGAACCCAGCAGTGTCTGAGACACCCTCCCCGTCTGCTCCACATTCTTCTTCCCCTCACCTGCTTTACTTTTCTTCATTGTGCTTGGCTCTGAGACTCTTTTTATCACCTGTCTCTTCCACTAAAATGTAGTCATAAGATTCATAAAGTTAGACTTTTCATGTTCACTGCTAAACCTCGAGGGTCTAAGACAGTGTTAGGCATATAGTAAATGCTCAATAAAATGTTCTTGAATGAAAAATTCTTTACTTAAACATGAACCTGGTCCAAAAAAAATATGAACCTGGTCAGATTTCTTTATCTCAGTGACTTTACCATGGTCTGTGTAACCTGTATTTTAGCCTTAACATTTGTTCTGTGCCTGGAAAAAGCAAGCCCCTGTGCCATTAAAAATAACACTTCGGGCCGGGGATTTAGCTGAGTGGCACCACACCTGTCTCAGAAGCTCAAGGACCTGAGTTTGATCCTGGTACAAAAAAACAAAAGAAAGAAAAAGCACTTCAAGGTCACTGTGAGAATGATGTTCATAGTACACTACCATCCTCACACCTGGTGTGCAGTGTGCACTGAGCAGAGGGACTCGAAGCTGGGGAGGGCGGGGTCTAGTAGCAGTATAATCAGTCAGGCCATCTGTAGAGGAGGACCAGTGTTTTTTCCCCTATCCATGTCAGACCAGTCTTTTTTTAAAAATACAATAAAAATAAAAACAAAGGCATAAAATTATTCTGTTCGATTGTTTTCAGATCATCTAAATTCTTATCTTTACATATTGCTGACTGACCCCTAAACCACACTTTGAGTAATCCTGGGATAGTTTAGTAGAAAAATGACCATTTTTTTTCTTACTGTAATTTTATTTTTCAAAAAAATACCACTGATTGTTGATGGTTCTCATTCTTTATTTTCCCACATTCTTAAAGTAGAAGTTGCCTTTGATGTTCTGGTCCAGAAACGTATGCACTGACGCTTGAGATTTCCTGTATGGTGTCAGTCACAGGTCAGGAGAAATCAGGAGAGATGTGTACTCAAAATGTGGTTCATATGCCAGCACCGCTTCTCCACATACAGTCACGCCATCCTGTTGTACTCCGGGTTTTTATTAAACTGGAAACCTTCAGAAGCCCTTATTTTTCTCAAGGAAAAATAGAAAGCCTCCTCCGTCTGTAACAGTCTCATACGTGGAGTTTGTAAGTCTTCCACATTCCTCAGTGAATTCAGCACAAACTTACCTGTCCCACATCAGCTACAGATTTGTGTCTAAAGCTCTCTTCAGAAAGCACACATCTGATCACTGCGCGCTGTGCCCCGCTCCTTGTTACCGTGGTGAAGGGCGTCGACTTGGATAAAGAGCTGTGTGGTCGCTCTGTCCTTCCCTTCCTGGTGTCCTGCCCTGTCTGAGACTCAGACTGCAGCCTGACTTGGAGCCATCCCCGTCCTCCCTCCCTGCCCTGTGAGGTCTTGTTCTCAAGTATGCGTGGAAATTGACTATCTGTGGTTTCTGCTTATTGGGAAGAAACTTTTATCCTGTATTATGTTTTCAAATTGATTTCTTTTGGGGTAGCGGTCAGGCCTTGTTTGATTTATTTTTGAGAGTGAACTCCAGTTACCGGAGGTTACCAAGGGTTTGACTGGCATGATTCTGGCGGTGTTGGCGTAATTTCCTTTGTCTCCACACTGCACCTCGTTTCTCCCACTGCTCCCCGGGGCGGCCATTGTAGCACGTGTGTGTGCGTTTGGGATGTCTTTTAAAATGCACTTTGTGTCGTGTTCGCATTCGAGGGCATAAGTGGTCTTGTGTTACAGATTTGGACATGGGCTCCTCCTCACAGACTGGTTTTGAGTTTCTGCTGCTGTTTGCAGGGCAGGGGAGCAAACCCCCCAGGCATTTGCTCACTGGGCAAGCGGTCGCCCCCAGACCTGAACCCTCAGGCTTTCTTCCAAATCGGGATGTAATCCTTACGCACTGTAAAATTTGTTACTCTACGTGTGCAGTTCAGTGTTTTTGTACATTTACGAGTTTGTGCAGCACGGCCAGCAGTTTCACATTTAGCGCCCCCAAAAGACGCGCGCCTGGTAGTCGTCGCTTCCGCCGGGCGCCTTTGGCCGTTTCTGTGCATGTGCTGCACGTCTCAGAGTCTTGTGGCCTTCTGTGTCTGGCTGTCCTCACTTGGCAAAATGTTTTTCCGGCTCATCTTGTCATAAACACTGTAGCACTTCGCACATCATTCCTTTTCCTCACGAAGAACCCTCCTTTATGTCTGTGTACGTTTCGCTTCCCTGTTAATCACTCGGTGGGCATGGGGGATGTTTCTGCCTCTCCACTCTTGTGAAGGATGCTGTGAACATCGATGTGCGTGTCTTCGTGCTCTGCGTGTGCCTGGGAGTACTTGCTTGGTCACATGGTAACTTTCTGAGGAACTGCCGAACTGTTTTTCCCAGCAGCAGCATTTTGTATTCTCACCGGTCTCTCCCTCGCCTCTCCAACACTTAGCTCGCGCTTTGGGGTTTGTTTTCATTCTGCTAGGTGTGAAGTAGTCTCACTGTGGCTCCGATGTACATTTCCACAGTGCATGTGCTTGGGGACCATTTGTGTCTCTTTAGAGAAATGTCTACTTAAATCTTTCTCTCATTTATAACTCAGTTTTTGTCATTTTTATTGTTGGGTGGTACTGAATACTAGATCTTTGTCAGATAAATGGTTAACAAGTATTTCTCCCCCATTTTTCAGATGTCTTTTCGCTTTTTTGTTTCTGCCCCTTGATGTAGAAAAGTTTTAATGTGATGAAATCCATCCAGTTCATGGGGCTGGGGGGGATTTAGCTCTGTGGTTCCACCACCTGCCTTTCAAACTCAAGGACCTGAGTTCGATCCCCAGTACCAAAAAAATAAAAAAATAAATCCAGCTCATGTATTTTTTTCTTTGACTGCCATGCTTTACTGACATAGGATCTTGTGCTTTTAAGATTTATCCACGTTGCTGAATGAACACAGATCACTTCAAATAGCTTGACGGTTTCCAAAATGTGTATTCACCACTTCCTCATGGACAGCCACAGTGCCTCATCTGCAGAGTATCACACGGGCCTCACAGGGTCCCTTATAAAACAGGGTGAGGACTTCGGGGGCAGAACTGCTAGATCAGAGCACGCTCATGTGATTAGCTCGACTCCGCGCAGGCAGATTGTTCTCCGTAACTGCCGCGCCCGTCCATCCTTCCCCCAGTGAAGTACCGGGCATTCCTTCCCGTTCCTCTGCTTTCCGGCCAGTACTTGACATCATGAGCTTCTGAGTTTGGTGAAGCCTGGGAAGTATTACCTCACTGTCATTTAATTTTCATTTCTCAAATTGTCCATGAAGTGGAATATCTCTTCATATGCTTGGGGTTTTCCTCTTGTGAATTGCCTGCCTGTTCATACTTTTTGTTCCTTTTTCTTTTGGGATTTCTATCATTTTCTTGTTAGTATTTAGAGTTTTTTTTTTTTTTTGTAAATTATATAGGCATTAGTTCAATTTTATTTTCGAAAGTACAACTGTCTTTGCCTTGTATCAAGCTACCTTTGAGCATGGTACCCATGCTATACTGAACCTTTTAGATGTAGTCAGCTGTTTTATTTTATGGCTTCTGCTTTTGAGGTTTTAGAGTAAGTCATCCTTTTACTCTACACCGCAGATTCCCCTTACATTGTCTTCTATTAGATTTATTACAGTTAGATCTTTATTTGGTGCCTACCTCTGTACGTGGTTATGGAAAGAATTCAGTTTTTTTTTTTCATTCCTATCTTGAGCCACTTTCCCCACATGAACTTCTAGTACTTCCTCCCCCAATTGACTTGTCCTGCATCTGTCCTATACATTAAATGTTTAATGTCCTATACCGTGTAAATGTTTAAGATGGATAGACATACAGAGACAGACACGTATCACATAAATTCAAAATTGTTTTTCTGTAAATTTGTAGTTTATCATTATTATTTCCATAAGAAATTTTAGACCAAATTGAGCTCCTCCAAAAATCTGATTTTATCAGGATATAATGAAAAATATATATATTCTAAGATTGTATTTTAAAATATCTAAGTCATCTCACCTAATAGAATGGGTTATCTCTCTAATTTTTCAGATCATTTTTTATAGAGTTTTAGTTTTAAAAAGTTCTCTCGTTGGGGTCCTTATTTTCCTTTTTTGTTGTTGTTGTTGTTTTGAGACAGGGTCTCACTATGTAGTTGAGACTGACCTGGAACTCACGATGTAGCCTAGGCTGGTCTCCAACTCACAGCCAATCCTCCTTTCTCAGCCTCCTGAGTGCTGGGATTATAGGCCTGTGCCACCATGCCTGACTCTTATTTACTCTTGATAAAACAAATCTCAACCCATTAATGGTTGTTATTGTAATTTAACTGTGGATTTTGCATTTGTGCAAAATACCTATTGTGTTTAGGTATTTATGCACAAAAATGTAGCAAAATCTGTCATACTTGTTCAGAGAGGGAGAGGTATACTTAAGCCACTTGTTTACTATTGGAAATTTTTCAGATAAAATACAAAGAGGACATAGGCCAGTCTAACATCATGGAATAAATAATTTAAGAAGTAGATTAGCTTCTAACACAAATAAATTGGAGGAGGTCCATAGCATGGGCTGAGGACCAAAAATGAAAAGAATGCCAGTGATATGTTTTTAACCTTGATTCAGACAACATAAATCATGGAACTTAAAAAGTAAGCGTAGGCTTGTACCTTTTGCCTAGAAGTGGCATCTCTCCTCCTTCCCGGAGGGTGGAAGAAAACTTGAAAGTGGTCAGCTTATCTGTGCTCTGACATCATTCAGGCTAGCCAAACTCACAAAGCCAAATAAGTATCCATGTTGGACATGACAGAGGTACAAGTGTTTCTCCCAGTTGTCTTGGTGGTAGATACAGTTTTCTCCCATCAGTTTCCATCCCCTGCGTAGTAACCGTGAATTTATAGTGACAGGAAGCAGTTTCAAGTCCATAATAAGCTCTCAAACATAGAGCTGGTCACTTGAAACCAACACAGCCAGTCAGCAAGGGTGAGAGGACTGAAGGGGACTTCCAGGTAGGACAGGGTGATGAGGATGGGGAGAGGCCACGCTGTGTGTGGCAGGAGAAAGGGGCTGCTGAGCCCGCTCTCAGTGTGCTCAGAAGCTGCCGGGACGCTGACCACCGTGCGCTTAGGAGCCGAGCCGTAAAGGCGGTGACGTTTTGAACAGGAGGTGAAGTAGGAAGCTGGGACAGTGTCCTAACATGCAACGTAAAGTCTCCGCAGCTTCTTCAGTGAGTTTCAGTCCGCGTGCTAAAACTGCAACTGTGGAAGCAGAACGAGAGCCATTGGTGGCTGGGAGACCAATTAGAAGGCCAGCTGGTAGCTCCTGAAACTAATTAGGAAAATAAAATTCATGATAGCTCCACTATAAGAGAGCCACAGATTTGTTTGTTCCCTACCACCCCCGAGGGGAAAAAAAGGAGCCTATTCCACTCCCTTCCCACCCTGCCTTCCTGGACCCCAGACACGGAAGCAGAAGCACCTCTGTGCAGAAGGTGTTCAGAAGCTTCAGCTCCATCCCCAGGTCCGCTGCTCCCTGCTGAAACCCAGCAGCCTCAGCATGACTGGAGTCGCCAGGGGCCTGCAGTGACCACAAACTGTTTCTCTGCCCTACCCTTTTTCACCCCCTTGCTGGAGTATTTTTTCGCTTCCAGTTGGATGACGTTCTTAAAAAAGAACACGTGTTCTCAGTCCCAAACCATCCAAACCGTAAAAGTGCATACGATAGAGCCTGAAGTTTCAGCTTCCTCAGTAGAAATTGCTTCCTGACACTTGTATCTGTTATATTTAATGTCAGACTTTCTCTAACTCCGATGTATTCCAAGATTCACTTCGTGTATCTGTTTCCATGTGGCATTCTAACCTATAATGGCCTCTGCATTGAACAGTTCTGCAAAGTAAGGGAGACATTTCAGACTAGGTACTTTAAGAGAAATGTTATTTCAAAGGAGACATACGATGATGGTGATGATGACAGCTGTAATAGAAACCTTTTATAGTGAATACTGCCAAGCACCGCTTCTAAGTGTGTACACTTACACATTCATTTGATACGATAACCCAGTGAGAGAACTACAACTCCCCCATTGCAGATGTGATGGTTAAAAGTATAGAAAATATAAGTCTGTAAGTGATGGAGTCAGGCTTAGAGTTCTCCATCTTGCTTTAGAGTTGGTGGCCATAACCACTGAGCTGTACTCTCTGTCCTTTAAATCGCCTGGGCTTTGATATTTGTACAGACTGAAATGCTCAAAAGCTTCAGCTTTCAAAAAATGAGACTAGTCTAGGTGTGGTGGTGCACACCTATGCCCCCGGCACATCCGGCACTCAGGAGGCTAAAGCAGGAGAATCACGAGTTTGAGGCTGGCCTGGCAACTTAGTAATTTTTTTAAAGTCTCAATAAGAAAAGTCTGACAGCCTTAAGAATCTCAAATTTTAACTGTGATCCCCTTTGACTGCCATCTGTCTTTAATACAGGCAGTTACTGTGCTTGGCTGTGAGGTTTGCCTTCAAGGAACAGCAGGGGAATTCAGAGCTATTTGGAATGATACGTAAACATGTTGCTCCTGCACCTGTATTGTATCTTAGTACACAGAAGCAGCTGAAGCTCTGACCGTTTGCCAGCACTCGGGATGATTTTATAATCTTTGGTGCCCAGTGTCAGGCAGAAGAGCTGCTCCTACATTCAAATGGGGGGTTCAAAAATGTGTGGGTAGGTGGCAAATTGGCCTCTGTTCCAGATTCCCGGGGTCTGTTGCGGTCACCTAGGACTTACCAGTTAAGAGATAGGCGTATGATCTGGAGACCAGCAGACTGTGCCTGGAGCTCTGTCTTCTAGAGAAATACGACTGCATTTCTGGCTGTCAGGTTGCATGGGTGACCAAAACAAAGAGGACTGTGGGACGCAGGAGTATGCCTCCTGTTCTCTTAAAACATGAGCGTCCATCAAAGCCAAAGTGGGAGAGAGACTACTGTCTAGACAGCCGACCACGTGTGCGCCCGTTTCACTTTCCTGGATCCACTTGGCTTTCACATTTTCCTGTGCAAATTCTCATTTGTTTTCTCATTTGAATAGAGCACCACGGTCCACCATCTGGAACAAACTCTGCCAGGCAAAGCCCAGCACTGCAGCACAGACCCATGGGACAGACACCAGCCAACCATGTACCTGGGGACAGGTGCGACGGTTCTCCTCAACTTTGGGGTTTTTTTTGGAATGGGTACAGACATCAAACTCCAACCACTGAGCCAAATCCCCAGCCACACTTCTCTGTACTCTTGACCCCGACTTGACCTCTGCTGAGGTCAGAAAGAGAACACGTGTGTGTCCTGCTCTCGGCTGCCTGCCTGTGCCCAACAGCGCCCGCACCCAGCTTGACAGGAGGGTTGGAACGAGGCAGGGAAGCCCCAGACCTCAGAATCACATTCCTCTCTTTTGCTGAAAATATTAGTATAAAACCTAGAGTTCTAGAAATTCAGCATCTTCCCAGGGTACTGGTGTTGCAGGAGAGTCTTTCTCACTGTGACAAGGGCTCTTTACCTGCCCTTTGGCTCGGTGCTTTGAGTGTCGGGTTTTCTGCATATAAACTGCACTGAGACTTTTACTTGAAAGACATGGGGGTGTTGAGGGTGTTACGTTTTGCTGGTTCTAGGTAAGTCTGTCATTCCAGCAGTCTGTCTGAGGGAGAATGGTAAGGATTCGTTCCGCAAGAAATTAACCTGCTTTTCCTCTTCAGAAGCTTTTGATTTTCTCATTCAGAGAGTGACTTGATTCCTCTCTCTCTCACAGAATTGCCCTGGAAGGTGAAATGGGGAAGGACCCCTCCGGCTCTTACAGACACTCGTGGTCCGACCACAAGCACCTGGCACAGCCAGACACTGCCGTGATTTCGGTGGTCGGCAGCCGGTACAGCCAGGTAAACCCACACCGATAATGTGAGTTGCTCTGCCCCTGACACTGGTGATTTCTATTGCAAATAAGCTCAGGTAAATTCCTTTCCAAAATTAATAAATCTTGCAGGCCTGCTGTGTGTTTGATACTTGGTTAGCTTCCATGAGAAGATATAAAGAATGAAGGAAAAGTACACTTGGGACACTTACAAGCACATAATGTTGTAGAAAATTCAAATAGGGAGCTTTTGTTTGTTCATTTTCAGAAAAATTCGATCTCCTTTTTTAAAGGAAGCCTTTTCTAAAATTGTTATCTTCCCTCGTACATTAACCAACCGGGAGACATCCCTCTAGTCTCGGCTGTAGTAGTAAAAATGAACCCTTGCACCCTGGCTGGCATCGTTTTGGTGCAGAAATGCCTGTGGGGTGCACAGGTTCAGGTCGTCGTTCCTCACGTGTACCTGAGCACCCTGAGAACCCGTCTCCCTCTCACGTCTCTCCCTACAGAGCCTGGGCTGCTACCCGGTGGAGCTGGAGCGCAGCCCTCGGGGCTTCGGGTTCAGCCTGCGAGGCGGGAAGGAATACAACATGGGGCTGTTCATCCTCCGCCTTGCCGAGGACGGCCCAGCCATCAAAGACGGCAGGATTCACGTGAGTGGGCCCCTGTCCGCTTCCAGCTCTAAAAACAATGGATTCCGAGGGAACGCAGAGCCCTCCCAAAGCTCAGAGGCAGAACTTTCGTGAGTCAAAGCCGAGGGGCCACCGGTCCCGCTGCGCTCTCCCTCTCCAGCCAGCTGGGCTGCGCTGCAGCTACGCTCCTCTGCATCTTGGTCAATAAGCAGCCAACATCTGAGGGCAAATGGATTAATAAATAAAATATACTTTCATCTCATCAAGGCTTGAGAAAGCCAGGATGAAACAGAATCTTATCTTCTGAGAAAAAAGCCGAGGGTTTTTTCCTCTTAGCCACCTGTAACGGTAACCAGGGGTGAAAGTTCTGTCTCCCAGCCTTCATTAGTATTTGAAGGATTCAATTCTCATCAGTCATACTCTCCACTAGGTACTCAGCTCTCAGACACTTCACCTTTGCACAGCGCAACTGCAGAACAAAAGTGGTTATACATCTGGGTTTTCCTTCGTCTTTATCGTAATTAAAGAGGAGTCCTGTATAGAAGACACTTGCTGTCCTCAATTTTTTTTTTTTTTTTTTTTTTTTTTGGTACCGGGGATTGATCTTGGGTCCTTGTGCTTGCAAGGCAGGAGGGGGAAGTGCCTCAAATTTTTATTTATTATTTATTAATTTATTTTGTGGGTCTGAGGACTGAACCCATGGCCTTCGCATTGAACTATATCCCCAGCCCTTTCTCCATTTTTTTATTTTGAGGCAGGGTCTTGCTAAGTTACCCAGCGTTTGCTAGGCTGCAACTCTGACATTCTCCTGAGTCTCTCAGAGTTCTGGGATTACAGGCATGTGCCACCACACCCAACAGAGTCCTCAATTTTTAAAAATAATTCACTGCTGCTGGGGATTTAGCTCAGTGGTTCAGTGGCCTGCCTTGCAAGCGCAAGGACCTGAGTTCAATCCCCGGAACCCCCCACCAAATATGTGCTTAGATATACAATAAAATTTTTAAGTTCTGGATAGTCTTCCCCTTACCACTTCAGATTTCTCCCCTCTAACATCAGTAGGCATCAGAGAAAGAGAACTTGTTCCTTTAAGCACACTAGAAAGGCACATGATCAAAGCCAGGCACGGTATTAACACACATGCAGTCCCAGAAACTCAGGAGGCTGGAGCAGGAGGATCGCAAGTTTGAGGCCAACCTAGGCAACTTAGTGAAATTCTGTCTCAAAAAGGGCAGAGGGATCTGATTACGATTTAGAGAAGTGTTCAGGGTAAGGGAAGGAGAAACAGTTGAAAGGTTTGTACTATGGTACAAACCCAGGGCCTTTGCACTGAGCTACACCCCCAGCCCTTTCATTTTTTGAGACATGTCCCATTAAGTTTCCCAGGCTGGGCTCAAACTTGTAATCCTCCCACTCCAGCCTCCCAGAGCTCTGGGTTTACAGGTGTGTACTACCCCATCCAGGTGTGTCTGACATACATTTAACACAAAGCAGAATCAGATCCAATTTAGAAAATACGGTCTGCTATCTTCCAGGCAACATATTTTACCTTGTACTTCAGTCTCTTGAGGTAGGTGGCACTATCTCTGCACTGATTTAAAAGTGAGGCTTGGGGAGCTGCTGAGATGACTTGGCATATCAGGCTTTGGCTTCTGTCCCTTGGATTCAATTTTATCTGGAGGCATAGAGTTCCTAACAGTTGTAAGATAATGCAAGCCATGTGTTGAAATGTTATTTTATAAATGTATTATATTTTTAGGGACTTTTTAAAACTGCAGGATTGCTAAGACAGTGGGGTGTGTGGGTGTGTGTGTGAGTGTGACTAGAGATTGAGCCCAGGGCTACACACTCAGTACTTTTTAGGGTTACAGGGTCTCACTAAATTGCCAGGGCTGGGTTTCAATTTTACACCTGTGTGCCTCAGCCTCCCAGACTGCTGAGTCTATAGGTCTGTGCTTCTGTCTTTTCTTTTGATTCTATTTCATTTTTCTCTCCTTGTCATTTCTCTTTCCTCTCCTCTTCTCGCTCATTTTTTCAGTAATACAAAACTGAATTTGAATCTTTATTATACTTATCAAAAGATGTTTCCCCATTTTATTTTTATCACATTTAAATTCTCTGTCAGCACAATGTTTCCATTTCGTTTTCAGGGGCCTTCTTAAAAGCTTAGTTTCTGAGTAGCTCAGTATAGAGCCCCTCCCCCAGTAAATCTTAAAGCCACAGCTCCCCTTCTTTCTCCTCTTTCCCCTCGTTTGGTCTTAGACAAAAATGACACCTGGTGGCAAGTCTGTTCAATTACAAGCTTCATTTGCAGTTTTATAGACAGGTTGGCCAGTTTAAGCCAAACAATGTGACTGAAATTAACTGTAACGCAACCATGTTTTATAAGACACACCTGAGCATGTTCCAAATACCACTTTCTGTGATTATAAGCAGGATTATACATCTAGTGCTGTCATCGGCAGACTTAGCAAGGAAAGTGTAAGCATTGGCTTTTGTTTCACTTAGATCTGGATAGCGAGGGGTTTTTTTGTTGTTATATCTTACTTTTCTCAATCCTGTTATTTTTTAGTTTTTTTTGAAAGTTCTTTTCATTTTATTATCTAGCTTACTCTGTTTCCTGTTACTATAACTGAAAACCTGAGTGTTGGAAATAGGTAGTTTCTGTCTTACAGTCTAGAGGCCTGGGAGGCCGGGGTACACATTATTGGGGTGTCCGCCGAGCCTGAGGCCTGCACAGCATCGTGTGAGGACACTGCAGGGCCAGCTCCCTGTTACAACAAAGCCACTCCTTTAAGGACCCACCAATCCAGCCAGTCACCTCTTAAGGTCCCACCTCCCAAATGCTACTAACGTTGAATTGTGAGAATTCCATTTTCAGTTACATGCTTTCAGCAGGGCGTTAACATCACAGCAGTATTAAATCCATCCATCTTGTTTCTGATATCCTTCCCTAGTGTCTTTTCCTTTTCAAATACAGTTTCATATACTTTGTGATTTTTGCATCATCGTATAGAATGGGGCATAAGACTACAGTTAAATCTTTACTAATGCGATTTCTAACCTGAAAAATAATTAACTGTGGTTGGTGGGCAGGCACTTATCTCCCTCACTCAACTCCAGAAGGAAGGCATTGTCATCCTCATTAGTAGAGGTGGAAAATGAGGCCATTGAGCCTGAAAGGAGAGCCAGAATGGGCCCATGGACATGTGTGGGGAACAGGGGAAGGGGGTGTTACTAGGACCTGTGCATCAGGTCCTAGTCTCCTGTGAGCCGAATTAATAATATAGAGACAGAAATGAGAAGAAGCTGAGCTTTGGCCCGATCCCTGCTGCTCTGGGCAGCAAAGACCCGAGACCCGGAGTTTGCCACATCTTTCTTCAGAGCCATCAGCAAAGCAGAAGTAGCAAATGACTTGGGGTGTGGTGATGGTGATGTCCTGGAACAGTGAAGAGCTATGCAGTTGGATACTTGGTTCCTCCTGGATGTCTCCAGCTGGTGTAATCCTGCCCTGGAGAATCACAGCATCTCAGGTGACCTGAGGTGAAGATGGAGTTTTGTCTGGACATACTGACAGGCCCTAGTTGGATTGTAGTTAGCAGAACTAGGCCCTAATCATGATTTAATTATGAAATGATTTTTCCCCCAAATCATAAAGAATTGCTCCCAGGAGACATGGACTCTTAAGTGCCAGGCTGTCTCTAGGTACAGAGATGGCCCACTGTGTCAAATGATCAGTCTTTTGTTAATTACTTTTGCATTTAGTAAACTCATAAATTTTTGCTTTTTAGACTGTTAGTAATGTTCTATTGTTTAATCCTATTTTGAAACCAATACCCTTCAGTTGCATGTCGCCTTGAAATAGATTCTAAAATCACTAATATCTTTAAATCAAGTCCTTTGCAAAAGTTATACTTGATTTTCCATATTTTTCTTTTTCCTTTTAAAATAGATTTAGTTGCTTTCCCACTAACCTGTGAGCCAGCAACTTCTTATAAGTGTTGATATCAAACTCTTCGCCATGCTTCTCTTCTAGATTTTTTTTTTTGGTACCAGGGATCCAACTCGTCTTCGCACTTGTGAGGCAGGCGGTGGCACCACTGAGCTAAATCCCCAGTCCTATTCTTTTAGAATTTTAACCTCTAAATTTGTCATTCAGCCAAGGTTTCATTTATGGACAGCATGTAGGAGCAGCACAGAGAAGGCAATTCTCCAGAGAACGAATTAGGAAATTGAAGTTTCTGCTCACGTTTAAAAGAACTCTTTACGATTTGATCATTCAGATACAGCTTTGTGGTATCATCTGATTTTAGAAACTTTCCCTCTCTCCTACTTAACTTTTGTTAGAAAACTTTTTTTTTCTTATCTAATCTTGGGCATCGAACACAAGGCCTCATGCGTGTTAGAGAAAAGATTTTTGGGTTTATGTCTATTTTGGTGGTGACTGGGGCTTGAACCCAAAAACTTATGCATACTGGGCATGCTAGGAGCCTTACCCAGAATTTGATTTCAAGATGCCAAGATCCTGACTTAGTAACCATACAAAACTTTGCCATGTAGGGTTTTTATAAAGTAAAACTATATACTCTCTCTCCGTATTGCTGCCTTCCGTCCATACATCAACTCTGGCATTATGTTAAATATTTCACGAATGAGACAGTCACTTAGCAAGGTTGGAGAGACTTAGAGGTGACATAAGCAAAACCGAAGGACACTGTTTCATCTTTTTTTTTTTTTTTTTTTTTTTTTTTTT